TGGAAGGATGTTTTGCAGTCGGCAAACAAAACGTTAGCAAGGTAAAGAGAAATCTTTCCTGTGTTTTAAAAAGAACCAAAAATTGACTTAGTTACTCTTTACACTCTCTAAGTCTTCATCTGCGCCGAGCTAACGCTGCACAGCAGGCATTTGTAATTTGACAATGGCAGGCAAAAAGTTCCAAAATTCTGTGAAGAACCAAAGAAAGTAACAGAAGCAGTTACTTCTTGTACCCTTAAGAAGCCACAACATCATCTTGTTTTACTCCATTATCAGGTGAAGCAAGCTAACATTAAACTAACAATGCTAATGGAGAAATAGAAGCAAAGCAAAAACTATCTCAAGCAATTTTTTTCTGTTACCAACAACTGGATATTACAGTGAAATTTATGTGTGCAGTCACTGATGAGTTAGCCGTGGTGTTTTACTTCCTTTAATTAGTCACTCAGACTTATAACAGTGTTTTCTGTCTTTGCTGGTTTCTCTATTCTCCTCCACAGCACTTAAAACACCACATAGTGCGCCAGTAAAATGTATTCAGACTGTGAGAGTAAAAAATGAATCATGGAATGATTCGAATGGAACCATTCGAATCATTCCATGATTCATTTCAGCCCTAATCTAATAATCAACTTACCGTGTGACGCTTCCTTGCATGTCATCCAGAATCTTGTGGTGCTGATCCACAACTGATAACAGCTATGAAACTCACGGAACGGGAACGAGAAAGGCATCATTTTGATTTGCAGTAACCACATTTGACCACAGGGTGTCATTCATACAAATTGCATCTTTAAAGGTACTGCATGACATGAAAAAAGGTTTACTGCTTATGGGCTTGGTCTCAACCTCAGACAATCCTGACCACATGTAATATATACTAAATGTTGTGTGTGAATTGTAAAGCTGAGTACAAAGTATTTTAATGAGTACAAACAGTTTAAGAAAATTACATTAAAAAAGGCCTGCTACAGAAAGCTAGAGTAATTCAGTGGTCACAAACTCGACCGACAAGAGCTGATTTTCCTCTTACTCCTAAAAGTTTTTGTGCTGCATGGTGGCGCAGTGGTTAGCACTGTTGCCTCGCAGCACGAAGGTTGCAGGTTCGAAACTCGGCTGCGGCCTTTCTACGTGGAGTTGCGTGTTCTCCCCATGCATGCGTGGGTTTCCTCCGGGTACTCCGGTTTCCCCCACAGATCACAACACGCCCTATAGGTTACAAATTCTAAGTCGCTTTGGATAAAAGCGTCTGCCAAATAAATAAGCATAAACAGTGTTTGTTTGTATTTTTCTAAGTCCTTGAATCCAGCTTGGCATAGCTGTAGATACTAGTTAGTATTTAAATTGTTAGCAACAAATGTCACAATTCAGTACAAGGTCCCAAATGCAGGATGAAACAAATCTAAATTTTGTTAATATTTCTGAAAATACATGTAAATGCTAACCTTTTACCAATAATGATCCAAAAATGTTAATATTCATATAAAAATTCAGATTCTTTTTTATTTTCTCCAGTGTGTGACAGCTCATGAAACAAACAAATTCATGAATAAAAGTTAAACATTTAAAGATTCACATGAAAACAAACAAAAATACTGAACATAATGGTAAAAATGAGCAAAGTTTTTCAGTGACAGAAGCTATTAACACAATGGTCATCAAATCTAATCAGAAACCATAGCGTGTCAACAGAAGAATACCACAGGAAGCAATACCCTACTGAGCATCCACAAAGCAGCAAATTGGCCGAATGATTGTGGATTAAAAATGTGAGGAATCAGCTTTTATTAACATCGATCACAGCACAGACCTTTCTGCATAACAACTGGGTGAAAATGAAAACACAACTTTTGTTAAAAATGTTACATTTGTCTTCCGATAGAATAAATCACATGGATGTATGAATGAATGTAACAAATGTAAGTTCCTGCAAATCCTTTTCACTAATTTCTCAGACTCATTGTGCATTTTTGTATTGAGCCAACAGCGTTTGACCCAGAAGTGTGTTGTACACAAAAGATAATGATCCTGCGAATATAGAGATCAAAGTCTCCTCATTTTAGTCATTAGCATCTTAACAAATGCATGTATGAGGACAGCCTTATCACCTTGGCCCACACTCGCACCTTTCCATATCTATCACCCTCAGACAGCCAACCTGTGCCTGCCAAATAAAAACACCACAGGCATTACCTCTGTGGCTGGCATGTTTTGTTGTTTTTTGTTTGTTTGGATTTTTTCTGATGAAGAAAATCATTTTGCAGTTTGGAAAAAAACTAAATAAAAGTTTGAAAGGCCTTATCACTTCAGGACAACGAGCTGGTGATTACATGAAATGCAGGAAAGATGAGCCCAGAGAATTAAACTTCACAACCGTGGCAAACTTGTTTACCTTGGTTCTAATTTAAAGTTTTGAGTGCTTTTATGCAGAAGTTAGTTATTATTAAATAACCACAATATCTGATCAGCTTGATAGGAACAAGTCATGTTTCATTTTCATTGTGCTTTTCACCTTTTAGCAGAAAACATTCCGATTCAGTTTGTTTCCATTTTTCACTCAGGTTAATAAACTGCTTTGACCCCCAGTTTGAGCAATACTGGTGGTTAAAAGAATTCCAAACTGGTGCGATTAGGATCAGTCATTACGTTAATGTTTTAAATCCTGATATGCTCATTTGCATCGAAAGTGTAATTATTTAAATTATAATATCTCATCATTGTGATCAGGACTGCTCAGCTCCACTAACATTTTATTTTTATGTCCAAGAAACTATGGATTCATGCTTACAACTGGATATCTTCATTGCATTTAGTGAATGGCTGAAACAAATTAAAGCATGGCATGTGCTTCAAAAGTAATGAGGTAAAAGTTCACTTGTTTAAAAACGAATAGGTCTGCAAGCAATTTTTAAGAAGAAAACTCCAACTGCTGCTTCTTACACATGCTCACTCTTCATACATCCAATGAACCTAACCAAACAAGGCGATTATTTTATAATCTAAAACTCTCGCTTCACTCGTTATTCCATCGCTACCACTGCGGATTCGGCCACCGCTGTTATCTGCGCATAGTGATGTGCACACGTCACCTGAGGTTTGCTTTTTTCTGCCTCTCCACCACCTCAGCATCCTACAGGCTCAGAGGTTAATGATGCACCAGGATTGTGCAATCAACTGAATCCATATTTCAATTTTGATTTCTGCTCCAAACAATCACATTAACAAATTACTTACTAAAGAGAAACTATTCAACATTGCATGCATGCGTTACATTTGTCTTGCCTTTCATTCTCTCCATCAACTTTATTTAAGATTCACACCCTCTGTAGAAGGACATCCAGCAACAAGAACCCAGATGCCCCTGCTTGGATAAAGGGATAGACCGATATGTCAGGCTGATGTTTGACATTCTTTATATATCAACATCGACTCATATACGTCCTTAGTAAAGCTGATTTAGTCAGGCACATCCCCAGGCAGCCTGGAGCTGCTGCAGAAATTCATTTAAATGTATATTTTTGTTCCTGAATAACATCTGCATAATAAATGCTCTAAAAACTATTTTTAACTAAAATGTATTTTTATATACTAGTTTTGAATGTTTAATACTTGGTCAGTTGATTGATTTGTTTGATTAACTTTAAGTAGTTCTCTGATTTTAACACGGACCAGTGCACAAAATTAGGATTTAAAAGCTCATTAAATTCAGTGTTTAAAAATGATTTAACTTCAGAAGTTGTGTGCATCAACTGATGTTACTAGTGGCATTTTAGCATGTTAGTAAGGAGGTAAATGTCTAGATATCAGCCATGAAAATCTGCCCAAAATATCGGCAGCACAAATCCACCATCAGCTGACCGTGACCCATACCTATCGGCATCGACGTCAGCAATAGAAAAACCAAAATCGATCGGCCTCTGATTGGCTGTCCAGGTTCTTCCTGCAGCTCTTCTCTGCTTTAAAAAAAGTCCTGTAAATGATATTTCATGTAGCTGATCAATCAAGTAGGAAATAAATTACACTTACATGTTTTAAATGCCAAAATATATTAATTTGTTATATTTTTTGTAAATAGTCCTACATACTTTCATGGTGGACTAGACTGATTCTAATAAATGAAAAATAATGTTGGTTTCATAAATTATACTGAAAAGTAGGGATACACCGAAATGAAAATTGTTGGCCGAAACCAAAAATCAAGGCTGAAAACCGAAACACTGAAAGATATTATGTCAAAAATAAGAACCATAGCATTAGGACTGTAAATTGTGTCAGTTGCAAAAATTAGTTTATAACGAGCCACCGCCGCAAATATAATCCCTCATGAAGTTATTACTTTACACCAGAATATAGTAGAGATGTGTAACTTCAATCTGAACAACACTTTTGGGTGTTTCTATTGAAATTGGTGGAGTTTATAGAGTTTGAAATCTGACCCCCATCGTTGGTTTAATACAATAAAAACTGAATTTACCACAAGTGTCAGCTATTTTGTTTTTGTTTCTCCTTCCCATTCTCTTTTACATGTTCATAAATTTATGACAAAGTTTTTCCAAGATTTCAGACCAACATTTATTTTATTTTAACTGATTTAGTGGCTGGACCAGAGCAAAATGGAATATATATGTGTGTGTGTGTGTGTGTGTGTGTGTGTGTGTGTGTGTGTGTGTGTGTGTGTGTGTGTGTGTGTGTGTGTGTGTGTGTGTGTGTGTGTGTGTGTGTGTGTGTGTGAGTGTGTGTGTGTGTGTGTGTGTGTGTGTGCATACTGAGTGGAGATTATAGAAATATGAAGGAAAAGGTTTATACAGCTGAAATCAGGCAGAACAGAAAATAAATAGAAAATACATTTTGTGATGTTCCTGCTGGTTTCAAGAATGATGGTAGAAATAAAAAAATAATAATAATATTCATAACTTTCTGTAGAAGACGCCTAAACATTTGAAAAAAAAAAGATGGGTTCAGGTGAAACCGAGATAGAGAGAAAAGCTAATTGCCCTTACCTGAGGGTGAACATCTCCACAGTGGAGTAGGCAGAAACGGAGATAAAAGCAGACACGGTTTCCCTCTGTCTCATGGGCGTGGCTGGAATCATCACCATGAAGTTATTATCCAGTCTATGTTCAGTAAGAGGGGGCTCAGGGGCATTCTGGTACAGCCTCACTCCTCCAATCCTCTTCAGTGGTGTGGAGGTGTGGGAACCAAACATCCCCTGCTGGCTTGAACGAGTGAAGCTGTCCTTTCTGAACTCATCTGTGTGGCAATCTCCTTCTTCTGTGGACTGCAGCATGTAGTAAAGCTCCACCGGTGTGCCCTCGGACAATTCCACATTCCTCTGGCGTCCTGGCACCACGCTAGGTGGGCTGAACCAGCTGGCTAGGGGCTCCAGCTCAGCCACACACAGTCCCAGCTCTCCCTTTAGCTGGCAGGTGCCACGTACCTCCTGGGTTTCATGGAAAGCAAACATGTGTACACAGGGCAGCTTGTCAATTGTGCTGTAGTCATCCCAGTTCCTGCCTGCAACATAAAACAGCACCTGGACTCTGGGCTTAGCCAAATTAATCTGTGTATTCATGATAAATGTCTGCACCTTCCAGTTAAAGGTAAAAACAGAAGAGGCAGGAAACGTCCCTGGGATCTGCAGGAGTTCGATAGGGACCGGCTGCTCCACAGACAGAGGCCCATAGCTGGCATTCACTGAGGGCAGAGCTCTGGCCTGGTAGATGAAGAAAGGCTCAGTCCGTGTCATTAGGCTAGAGTTCCTCATGAAGTCCTGGTTGGCCTCCTTCAGGAAAAAAGCCAAGTCGGCATTTAGCAGCTGATAGTTGACAGGCAGGTAGGTGGGGATGGAGGAGTATCTCTGCAAGGCCTCCAACACTCGACAGTCAGCTACTAGAAGACAAAAAAGAAAGGCTGGGTTAGGTCAAATCAGGTTGTGGAAAACATCCTGCAGAACATCGCTATGACCTCAAATCAGACGCTAAAAAACAATTTTATACATGTTGACTCTGCTCATCACAGAAATTTACCAAAAAAAGATTCATGAAATACACATTTTGCTAATAAATACAAATTCAAAATTAACTGAGTGCTACTTTGTAATACTTTTATTATTTTTCACAGAACTAGATCTTGGTAGTTAATTTATGAAGACACTTAAACGGCTTACGAGTCACCCCCTACCAGAGTTGAACTCCACCCTCAAAAGTTGATTTGGGGGTAAACTGCTCTTTAACGACTTGTAGTTTTCTTTTTGCGTTATATTTTGTATCTGAAAAGTAATTTTGGGATTGTTTTCACTGACTTCCTAGGAATCTTATATATACATGTATATATGAGGGATGCTCGATATTGGCTTTTTAACCGATATCTGATATTGTTTAAAGGGGCATTATGGAAGTTTGACAGCCAAAACATGTATAGAAATAATAAATTTCTTCTTCATACATTCTCCTGCAATGCCCTGGTCCTGTAGAATGAGCCCTGGCATTTTTACTGTGATTGCCTGTTTTTCTGTAAAGTCACAGAAAAAGAGAGATGCTCGGGTCGAGCAGGCTGCTTCATGCGTGTTCACGCTCAGGCATAGCCCGTAGCATTTGCTATCAGTAGCTTTAGCAGCAGAGAGTGAGGTAGTGCCAACTCAGCGACTTTGTCGCTGTTCCTAACGCCTAGTGATGAACCTAGCTACATTTCTGAGGACCCTTAGCTACTTTCTTCAAGATGTTTCCTGCAAATCAGCAACAAAATAGCCATTTTCGCTCACAACGGTTCTTTGAATGTTTCAGCTGTCATCAAGGATATAAATATTACAGCTACAAAGGATGTCACTGGTGCTATAGCTCGCCTAGTAAGATGGCGGATTCTCGAGTGGAGAACCCGGGTTCGAATCTGGATGTGAACATAGTTTATTTAGAGTTTATTTTTTACATTAATGGCATTTTTTTTCAGTAAGATGCCCACATTTTTATTTGAGACTCGCCGAACGGCTTTGAATTCACAGATAAAAAAGATGTGGGTTCAACTTTCATTTTGGAACAATTTTTCAAGCAAGGGAAGGCAATGATCTGAGCATGCAGGAGGACTGACCCATCATAAACCTTTGTCGGCTGTGCTGAAGAGAAAGGTACAGAACCAAATTACTTAATTAATTAGCTGCGCGTTCTCCTGTCCTCTGTCCTCCGGGCCACACACACACACACACACACACACACACACACACACACACACACACACACACACACACACACACACACACACACACACACACACGGGACTGTCTCAGCTGTTATTTTCGTTAAGGAGTGTGCACGTACAGCATGCGCGCCTCGTGCACGAGCCTACTATTGAAGTTGCCATTACGCTTTTGGCCTGAGGGGGCAATCGCGAGCATAAAATTCAAAACTCTGTAAAGTCCCTATAACTCTTAATTTCCTATACCAATATAGACCGGTACCTATTTATGCAGGGTCTCCCAATAAAAAACAGACAAAAAGAAATTATTTAGGTTGCTAACATTGCATATCTTCTATCATGAATGCTTAAGCTCAGTGATAAATGACAACTATTTCAATTTAAGTTAGAAAACAGGTGAGCAGGTACAGGTGAATTAATGATTAAAGGTTAAAATGTTTGATATTTTGAAAACAGATCAAAGTTACTGTTACAAATAATCTTTGTAATACTGTCTGTGTGAAATGTGACAGAGTGAGCCCTCTTAACTCAGTTTCAGATCTATGAATGATATAATTTCCGTTTTCCTCCATTGCTAGTGTTTACTGTTTACATCTTACATTTAGGCAGAAAAAGTGCAATAAACAGATACCAAACATGCTGGTTTTGCTTTATATGTTTGTGTAACGGAGAACATTTGTCTTTGTAAGAATCGATTGTTTAGGGAATGTGTTAAAGTTACTGTTATGGAAATTTTATATTTCATTACTTTAGTCCTATTAACAGATATATAAATTGAATGTCCTGAAAGCATTCACACACACACACACACACACACACACACACACACACACACACACACACACACACACTCAATCTCTCACACACATGATCCACTCCCATTCCTTCCTTATCTTTTCCTTTAAATAAACTCTGTGGCCAGATGTTCAGGGCATTTGCCCTGCGCACTTGCCACTAAATCATGATTTGGTTGTATGTCTGCCTCATTGTTTCTTGTCCCTTTTCTCTTCGACTCCAGGAAATGGGTTTATTGATAAACATATTGATAAAAATCCATGACAGTTACTTGATAAAATGTAAGCAGCGAGAGCGTGCACATGCTATGCGATGCTAATTGCCAAGCGCTTCACTGAGATGCGTGTAAACGTCCATAATGTATTGTTTTTGTTTCTGTTTACTGTAGTAACATTGTAAAAAAAAAACATTTAAAAAGATCTTCATTTAAGAAAAGCAAGCCTTGGGTGAAGATTCTTGTGTTTGTTTTAGTTCCTAATTATTCACAAATTGTGCCAAATAAAACAAAGATATCTCACAAACTAAATCTCAGATCTGTCATATTTTGATATTTGGAGAGACAAGAGGTGAAGCCGAAGAGTTTGATGGTAATATGTGTATGGTATGTAAAAGTTGGGTCACTAAGAAGTAAGAACTACTATAAATATTACATTTTAAGACCAATATCAGTCGACAATAGTGGTAGACTGATAATATCAGACATTACTAATGTATATACACTCACCTAAAGGATTATTAGGAACACCTATTTGTAGCGTGATGAATTATCCATTTCTGACCTAAAAGGCCCTGCTCTGTTTTGCTCTTCTCAAAGCAAAACCAGAAGTTTCTGACACAAACCTAATCTGCATGAGATATTGCTCAAGGTCTCATGCTCTGCTTCTAAACTGTTTCTTATTTTCCAGCTCAAGAGAAGAAGAAGACGAACACTTTCTTTTTAATAAATCAGAAGAAGTCTTTCTCTATTTTTATTAAGCTAATCAAACAAAGTGTTAGTCCAATAATAAAATGTGAACCAATCTGTGAAATGACAATGTTTATGATCAGTAGTATTTTAATAAGTAATATAACTTTAAATTAGCTACACTAGACATTGTCATCCACGTAATGCTTAAAGTCACATGACACATTTCCTTTTTCTGATCCAATCAGAACCTTCTAGATCTGACGCGAGGCGTTGTTTTGTTGGTGCTTGGTAAAAATCCCCTCTTGGTGTCCTTTTTTGATTTGACCGTAAATCAAAACATCCAAATTATAAAACTATGCCCACGTCATCTTAACTTCAGTTCAAAGCGTTCTAGAGAAGTTGTCGGCGTGGCCAATCTGTGAACTTTCCTCTTCAGCCGAAAGAACCTAACGACAAGCTGGATTAAATCTGTTGCATGTTCCACCTGCTGCAACGGTACCTTTCAGAATAAAAGCTGAACCATCACGACACCTTTTTGGGTCTTGCTAGATGCCAATAAAACTGTCGTGACCCGGAAGTATCTCAAGACTGGTCTGGTCGGCATCCGCTGCTTATCTACCAGCTTCGGTGCCAGAAGAGGTCAAGCTGGACCTCGACATTCCTGATCTAACGCGGACTTCCGCCAAGGGTACGTAGACCGACAGAACGGCATCTCAATGTGTGTTATAAATCTCCAAACCAAAGCTTAGAGCGAAACATCATTTTCACTCCCATCAGAACTAATCGTTTCTCCGGATTTGCTGGTTCTGAACATATTTCACACATACACCATCCTCAGTCTTACTTCACCTTAGTTACACCATACACCTAGTGTTTAAAGTTAAGTCTTGTTTATTTTGTTTAGTAATAAATCTTCAAACTTTTAAACCCGACTCTCTCTCTTTCTTGGAGTTGATACGAAGTGTTGCTCAATCCCTGCAATAAAAAGATCCGATCTTCTGCTTAAATTTACTCAAAGACCCATTAAGGTGACATTTCATCTTTTATGATATTTCACATTCTATGGTTTCAAATTAAATGTAAGAACATCTTCTCTACATAAAGTCGTCATTTTAAATGAAGGGCTTTTCTGATCAGGAAACTGCTGGCAGTGATTGAGTTAATGCAATTATCTAATCAACCAATCACATGGCAGTTGCTTCAATGCATTTAGGGGTGTGGTCCTGGTCAAGACAATCTCCTGAACTCCAAACTGAATGTCAGAATGGGAAAGAAAGGTGATTTAAGCAATTTTGGTGCCAGATGGGCTGGTCTGAGTGTTTCACAGTCTGCTCAGTTACTGGAATTTTCACGCACAACCATTTCTAGGGTTTACAAAGAAGGATGGGAAAAGAGAAAAACATCCAGTATGCAGCCGTCCTGTGGGCAAAATGCCTTGTTGATGGTAGAGATCAGAAGAGAATGGGCCGACTGATTCAAGCTGACAGAAGAGCAACTTTGACTGAAATAATCACTCATAACAACTGAGGAATGCAGCGAAGCATTTGTGAAGCCACAACACGCCCAACCTTGAGGCGGATAGCTACAACAGCAGAAGACCCCACCGGGTACCACTCATCTCCACTACAGATAGGAAAAAGAGGCTACAATTTGCATGAGCTCACCAAAATTGGACAGTTGAAGACTGGAAAAATGTTGCCTGGTCTGAGGAGTCTCGATTTCTGTTGAGACATTCCAATGGTAAAGTCAGAATTTGGCGTAAACAGAATGAGAACATGGATCCATCGTGCTTTGTTACCATTGTGCAGGCTGCTGGTGGTGGTGTAATGGTGTGGGGGGATGTTTTCTTGGCACACTTTAGGCCCCTTAGTGCCAGTTGGGCATTAAATGCCACGGGCTACCTGAGCATTGTTTCTGACCATGTCCACCCCTTCATGACCACCATGTATCCATCCTGATGGCTACTTCCAGCAGGATAATGAACCATGTCATAAAGCTC